AAAACAATTTTCCATTCTCCTGTTTGGCTAAATTAATCGGTAGCCTTTGGGAGCAGCTGTGTGGCTTGTCTGCCTTTAGCTGTTAGTCCCCCTCACTGGCCTTAGAAAACTGATCCTGAGATTTGATTTTGCGTAGTAATGTGTGATACTTTATTCGGCGACGATTAAAAAGAAATACTTTGATTTTTTCCTGCAATAGTCTTTAGCAAGAAAGATACCGAGGTTTTCATGATCTACATGCTAGTCAAGTGACAGGAATTTCTAATTTCTGCTTTCAAGTAGAAAGGTTTTTAACAGTTCATGCTTTATTTGTGTACGTGAATGGTTCTGTTCTTTATATCCAAAGATGAAACTTCATATTTGCTGATAATTCTTTTTGAATGTCATTTTCTTTTTTTTGAAGATTTGTTTGTTTGTGCATACAGAACTGGGATACAGGCCAGAGGTGCAGGGGTGGTAAGAGGATTCACCAGAGACAGGGTGGGGAGCAGAACAGGCAGATTGATTGAAATACACTGCTGAGGGGAGTGGCGGGGAGACAGGAGAGGTCTGTGCTGGGGATAGAACTCGTGCTGCAGTGGCTGCGGCTAGCTGTGCTTTAAACCTGTTGCGTCACCAGGGAGGGCCCTGAATGACATTTCCTAACATCACACCTCTTCTTGAACTTTGAATATGAAAAAAATACACCACATTCACCCTGTAAAACTGCATAAATTTTAATTTTGGGGGTTTGTCATTTGTCACACATTGATCTTTGGGCATCAGAAAATAACCTTATTTTTGTCCAAATTATCAGGTATTTCTGTGTCAATCAGCTCTTTTGGCCTTGGTCACACCGAGACAAGTTTTACATGAGGAATCGGCTGTAGTAGGTGAGCCAGGGCTGAATACAGATTCAGGTAGAGGAAGTGAGCGGTATTGATTTATCTGGAGGTGGGAAGCAGAGAAATCCTGACAGATTGCCTTTCTAGAAAGCCATTTACTCCTTCTGCAGAAAGGTATAAACAGAAACATTCTCAATTTTAAAATCTGGGCCGTTTTATTGAAGTGGCGTTGGTGGCAACACTGTGACCCAGGGCTGTGAGCACACAGTGCGTCACCACACTGCGCCCTCCACCTGCGCCCCGCGATCCTCCACCCCAGCCCCCTCGCTGTGCACTGACCGCTGTCGGGGTTTGTCCCTTTTTTGGGAAATAAAACTGCAGTTGCACTTGTGTATTCTAACTTTCCTGCTTTCCCATCGCTCCAGTAGTAGGATCTAGTTTTTCCAAAACTTCAGCCAGGCTACACGAATCACTTACACGTGGCTGGCTTGGCTTGTGCCTGCGCCCCGTGCGTGGCCTTCTCCCTGTCCGTAATCTGGTGTGCCCTGGTCACCGCCGGCTCCAGTGAGCGCCCTTCACCTGTCCGCGTGCCGTCTCCCGGTCTAGGCAGACCTTGCCCGCGTGAGTCCAACTTTCCCCTCAGCCTGCGCTTTCCTGCGAGTGCTGCTTTCCCGTAGGCTGCAGAAACAGAAAGTGAGTGCTGCCCTTGACTCATCTCCTGCCTCCCCTACCCCCCCTCGCCCCCCCACAGGTACCTACCCTGTCTGCCTGCAGAGTCTCTCCCCAGTCGGCCACTTTTCTCCTGCCCTGAGCCCTTTTCCCTCCCCCAGACCTTTCCCCAAGGCAGCCTGGATGCTTCCTGGGATACACAGATCTGATTCCCTCAAGGTCAGGGAAATGCGGGCCTGTGCACCGTTCGTGCACCCCGTTCTCGCCATTGCCCACCCCTCACGGCTGTGCCCTTCGGTCTTGGGCGCAGGGACCGTGGCAGCTGCTCCCTTCTGGCAGCAGCGCGAGCAAGGGAAGCTGCTCCACGCCCCTCTGCTGTCCTCCCGTCTCTATTTTTTCCCAGCCTGGAAAATTGGTGAGTCACGGTCCTTCCCATTTCCTGCAACACCACGTCTGTCATTTCCTCGGCACACAAATCTCTGACGAGCCAGGCCCCCTTTTCTTCTTTAAAAGTGCTTTTGGTTTTAGTTTTTCCTTTTTACTGCCTGGCCTCTTTCAAAGAGTCTCCTGTTTTGAATTCTCGCCTCCCTAGTTTGTCTAACTCCGTCGCCTGTTGTCTTCAGTTGCTCTTTGTTTGTATCCGTCCAGATACCACCGAAGCTACAGGGAGAGGCCACAGCGTCGCAGTGGCTGGCGGGGTGTATCGGGCTCTTTGTCAGTAGCTTGTGGTAATGGCATCTCTCTTGGAGGTGAGCTCCGAAAGGTGGTTTCAGGCCATGGTCCATACGTGTGTCTCCTTTCACGGAATATCTGTGTAGATGAAGGAGTGGCATTCCTGTTTGAACCTGGAGACTTTCACTAAAGGTTTTGAGGGAGTTTGTCTAGGTTGACAATTAAATTGACTTTCATCAAACTTGAGGCACATGGTAGCATTTGAATCAGGAGCAGGCGTGCTGCGAACTCAGTATGTGTAGTATAAAGTCACGCAGAGAGAGGTGCCTAGAAAGGTGGATTGAGCTGTTGGCGTTGGGCAGCTTAGAACGGGAATGATATGGAAGAGATAAGCCCTTTTTTGCCATGTGCTGCATGCAGGGCAGCCTGTTACAAAGTTTCCAGAGACAGCGTAGACCACAGACATGCATGTAGACCACAGACATGCATGTAGACCACAGACATGCATTTCTACAGGCACTTTGGCTGGCCCACGGTGACGGGAGCCCTACGAGAGGGAAAGAGACATCAGTTCTCTCGCTCTGGTGAGGGAGGCCAGAGTTGGTGCCTCAGTTTAACTTTCAGAACCTGGCTTGTCGTGTCTAGCTCTGTCCTAGCAGACAGGAAAATGGAGCCTGTGTTTGTTCCACAAACACTGTTGCTGCTAAAAGGAAAAAATAGGCCTGAGAAGAAGCCAGCCGTCTCTCACAATATACGTCTTCATTAAAAAGTTTTTTCACATATATTACTGTTGTGATTTGTAGCATGCTCATCTTTAGATAAACTATTCAGTCACTCTGATCACAATTTTCTTGTTTTTGAGTCTTTTTTTTCCATGTCATTTTCTTAGTCTCTACTGGTTCCTGAATTAGGAACTGTCCTGTCTTAATTGGTACACGGGTAGCAGATGTACAATAAATGTTGATGCAGCTTAATCTGGTCAGTGTGTCAACACCGCTAAAACTTCATTGCAAATGAACAACACCCCTTTGTGGTAAAGGCCGAAAGGAAGTACCTCAGACAGTGTGACGTGACTTCCTGTCACAGCCGCTGCATTCTCTCGTTGTGGCATGCAGCCCATATGTTGGAAACAACACTGTGTAGACTCTGCTGTGTCCAGTAAAACTTTGTTTACCAAAATAGGTGGTGGGCTGGATAAGGCCTGTGAGCCAGTTTTCCAACCTTTCCTCAAGGATAATACGCCCTCTAGATAGAAGTAGGTGTGTAGGTTTGTGGTGTAACATTCTGATGGAATATAAAACTATGCGTTAGGTATGTTACAAGGGAGACTTAGGGTGAAGTACAACTTCTGTTGTTTATTAATTAGATACTGTCTTTTGTCCTTTGTTCTCATATAGAAAGGTAATACTGATCATGTCAATAACCACCTTTATGAGTGCCTGACATTGCCTCTAGCATCCTATTTGTACCCTATGGCAAGCATACAAAATAGATTCTGTTATTATCACCATTTTACAAACAGGAAACTAACGTTAGTAGGTTAAATAGTCAAGGGAAGAGATGTACCTGGCACTTGATTCTGAGTGGCTGTAAGACTCGTCTAGCAAGACCAGAGCAGGTTTGGATAGGTAGCTTTATAACAGATTTGAAGCATGCAGAAGACAGCTAGAGAGATGGGAAGAAATTAGCAGCTTCTCTGTTTACTCCCCTTGAGCCCCATTGTACTTCAGTCTCCTTGTTCTCATGGAAGCCTCATCTCCATCCTGATTTCCCTGTATTTGCAAGGACAAACCAAATTTTGTTTATTCATAATTTACTTGGTGATAGACATAGGGTTTGTTTTCAGTTTTTGACTACGGCAAAACCATAACCTTTCTATATAAGTGTTTATATAGGCACACATTTTTATTTAACTTGGGTGAATACATAGTATTTATGTTTAACTTTCTGAGAACTGCCCAACTGTGGAAAGTGTTTGTGCCAGTTAAGTCCTATTACAATGTGTGAAAATTCCATTCATTCCATGTCCTCACTAGCTCTTGGCATTATCCTCTTTTTAACCTTTAGCCACTTAAATTGGCATTGGGGTGGGGGGTGGGGGGTGGGAGATGTCTCATTTACTTCTTTGGTAATAATGATGCTCAACGTTATTTCCTATTTGTTGATCATTTGAATGTCTTCTTTTGTATAAAGTTAGATCAAATTGATTGTTATTAATTGTGTTATAGGTATCTTGATTATGTTCTAGTTGCAGGTTCTTTGTTTGATATGAGTTGCAAATAAATCCTCAAAGTCTGTGACTTGTCATTTCATTTTCTTCACCATATTCTTTGAAGAGGAGACTTAGAAGTTTTGATGAAGTACATAATCGGTTAATACTCTTTTTATAATTCCTAGTCTTTGTGTTTTAAAAATCTGTCGCTTGCCTCAAAGCATCAGGATCCCCTCCCTCATTTTATCTCTTAAGTCTTAAAGTTTTACATTTACATTTGTGATGCAGTTTGAGTTAATTTTTGTGTATATTGTATATTAGGGTTGAGGTTCATTTTCTTTTGCCCCCAATGGGTAGTTAACTGTTCCAAGTACCACCAATTGAAAAGACCCATTGAGTTGGCTTGTTGGCTTAGCAGTCACTCACTTCTTAAGTTTACATTTAGTGTCTTATTATTTCAAATTCAGATTTTTTTTTGTTATCACTTGAACTTGAAGATATAAGCAATCTTGTGTGATTCTTGCTAGATCACAGGACATTGATAACTTTATCCAGATAAGAAGAATTAGGTTTATAACTTATTCACTATTCTCCTATTCACCCTTGGTATCTTTTATTTTTAGGTGTTACACATAATATTTCTTTACTTCGAGAGGTAATAATCAACTCACGCTTTGTGAAAGGAGACATCAACACTAAATTCCTCGCTGATGTGTATCCTGAAGGCTTTAAAGGTTTGTATGGTTTGCACCTCTTAGTGTATTAAAGTTGGGATTTTTATACTACAGTGTGTGATTGTTTTTGACTTTAAAATTAAGGCCTTTGGCTTATGTTTTACTTGATTTACTGACATATAGAGTGCCCAAGACTGTTGATGTGCACGATTGTTTGTGTTTACGAGTGACTAGTGAGTGTGTACTGTCTGTTGTATGTTGAGTGAAGAGTTCAACTCTGTTTGTCGTGTGGGTCCAGTTTTGAAGCAGAACGAGTAGGCAGAGCAGTAGCCTGTCTGATTTTCTACTTTTTGGAAGTTAATTCAGATTCGTACTTCATGCTGGTGTGAGTATATGCAGGAGCTCTTCTTCAGTGATTAAAACTAGATCTTTGTGAAAATTAGTACTGAAAATTTCAGAATACCAGATGTTATTCCTATTAGTGAAAATGAAGATGCCTAAGAAGATAATGGTTTTTATTCTGATAAATGGAATTTTGAATAAAATAATGAGTGGAATGTGAAAGTTAGCACTGCAGAGTTATTAGTGAGTGTTTCCAGATAATAGAAAATTTGCTCACCAAGTGGGAGAGAAGACCCTTTAGTGAGCATTGGAAATATGGTCAACATGTAACATTAAGAAACTGACAGGACTTACTGGAGCCTTAATGAGAATGTTATCTAGGGAAAGCTAATAATCTCCATATTTCTAACAAGCTTGGAGATACAGGAAGATTAGGTATTTTCACACAAATTTCAAGTGTTCGTTATAGCCCTGTAAGAGTGTATCAGTGTATAAGTGATTCAGTCACATTGTAGCTGTGCATCATTTCAGGCCCTTTATATAGTTGAGCCATCGAAATATCTACAGAGTAATTTCCTATGTTAGAATTTTCTATACAGAGTTCTCGTGAAACTAACCAGAGATTACAGATTTGATTGTTCTTTCAAAGCTTACTTTGGGGATTTATCGCTAATATCAAAGGAAATGAAGATGGCTTTTTATTTGGGAACTTAAAACAAACAAACAAAATGCACCAGCAGTTTCTTTTTCCTGAATTTTGATTTTTTGAAGACATAAAACAACCTTAACATGATTGTAGTTTTATACTTCTGTGTTATTCCATTCATACTGGTGGTTTCATGAAGACACGTTGGTGCCTTTCATTGTTTCCCTGGCAACTGAAACATAATAGACTCGAAGTAAACAGTGTTTAATTAATAAAAAGAATCTTGCCATAGTATCGACAAGAAGGGACTACTTTGTGCATTTTTAATTAACTGTACAGGAATCCAGATGACCAATTCCTCTACCTTGTTCCTAACCTGTGGCCTCTTAATGCTTTCATAGTGTTTAATTAAAAGTTTTAGTAAGTTGTGAAGTGGACTCAGGATTTCCAAATGCTTTCATGTCTGCCTGACTAATGTATCTGTGAAGAGGACAGGGCACCAGCCAGTCAGCAGAGACAACAGGTAGCAGCTTCAGGGAACCTTTAAGACAGCCGTTCCGTGTTCCTGCCCAGACACGCACGTCTCCTCGCATTTCCGCGTGTCCGTGGCTGGCTCTTGCATTTGTGCTGTTGCGGCCCATTACCATGGAGGAGAAAGGGGGCCATGTAGTATCCCATCAGAATTGATTTCCATGTGCGTACATTTAGCAGCAAGAGAGACTGTTTCAATGGAAGGTGTCCCCTTAGTTCCCTAAGTTCTCAGGAGAACTTAGAAATTTACTTCGAATCTAGTATTAGAGCTTTATGTGACAAATTTAATACGTTACATTCCTTTTTTGGAAGGGAATGTTCAGTGTGGACTCCGATTCTGTTTTTCATGCTTATGAAAGATAGGAATACAACTCTTAAAATTGTTGTAAGTGGGTAGAAAGACCATTAGCAATTATTTAACCTTAACCTTCATTTTACGTGTCAGGACACCAGAGACCAGAGAAATTGATGAATCTAAACGACCGATAGTATTATAAAGCCAGGAACGGAACTTGGACTTTTCAACCTCAGTTGCAGTATCCTTCACTTGTGCCAGGATTCACATTCGTAAAATCAGGCTTTTCCAGAGTATGATGTATGTTATCTGCAAGGACTTTAAAAATACCCATAAGCCTTATTTTTGGAAAAGGCAAACATCCAGAGACTGTTGTAATCTTCCATATGTAATTTAAAGACCATAAACGCATTATGGTTCTGCATCCTAGCAATTTTAGACGTTAGGAAAAATGTTTAAAGCGTGAAAAAAAAAAAAAGCACTCCTTGTCATCCCAGTGCCACCTCTTATTTTAGCCCCCATTCTCTTCTTGCCTGTTCTCTGAGAGGCCACTGTCTGCTGTTCTTCACGTTGCTCCTCCTTCCCGTTTTCTCCAGAGCACGTCTTAGCTATATTAAACTATATTATCTTCGGTGGTTTGATACATGTGCCTGAGAGAGACAGCAGGAAGTGGCAACTGAAGCTACTCCAGGATCTTCTCCATATGTTTGAGGCGGGGTCATTTCGCCCCTTTGGGGTTACCCATCTGCTTCCCATCTGTCCAGCTACCCTAGCACTATTCATAGGCAAGTGCCTGGGATTTTGTTTTTTGTCTTTTTTTTTTTTACACATGTTAAATTTTTCTATGATATATGTTTATTATTCTAAATTTATTTGTAGACTAAGACAGTGTTAGTAAAGGTTCTTAGAATGAACTTTGAAATATGTCTAAAATTTAAAAATAGGAGATGCAGGGTTTGTTCTTCATATTAATTTATTAAATTCTCCTGTTGAAGAGCTATATACATGCTTCCTGAAAGATAAAGGGGAAAACGGGGAAGAAGGCACTTTGATTCTAAAGGGAACATGAGGAGAAGGTATTTTAAGAGCTATCATTTCAGTTGGCCTGTAATGATCAATGAATAGTTTGGGCCCAAACTACCAGCCCCTAAAAAAAAGAAATGATCAGGCCGATCTTTGTCCTCTGATAAGCAGCAGTCATTCTAGTTTTTCAACAAATAATTGATGTAGGTTCTAGAAGAGACCCAAAGACAGAAAAGGAGCTGCATTACTGAGCAGAGCAAATAAGTGCTGAGTGAAGATGTGAAGCATTTGAGAAGAGAGGGAA